GGGGGTGGGGGCTGGGGGGGCAGAATACATAATGAACGAGGGCAGCTCCATTCATTCTATTGTCAGAGCGTTACAACTCGATTTCCACGCTCTTTTCTGCTTTATCACTCTACAAATTGTAAAATTGACTTTTCACCTCCGACATAAGAAAACTGATCCGTAAAAACCTGACTGTAACCTGCAGACTGCAGACGGGAGGGCGGGAAAAAGTGCAAAAGCTTTTGGAGAAATATACAGAATAAAAAAAAAAGAACTAAATGAAGGCTCTCCCTGACAGTCCGTCAGCAGAGACGTGTGGGAGCAGGACAATAAAGAGTAAGGCAAACAGTGGTTCTCAGTCTTATTCCAGCACAGAGCTGACAGTCCGTCTGTCCCGCTGTCGTGTGTCTACATTTCTCTGGTCTGTGAATCCGCTGGCCCGGCGCCTCCTCCGGCTGACTGGCGCTCAGTAGATGCCCGGCACGAAGCTGCGGAAGCCGTACAGAGCGTCCTGCTGCAGGTAGCTGTAGTCCTCTGGCGCCGCGGGGCTTCCCGGGCTGGATGCGCAGTAGGCCGGGGAGGAGGAGGAGGAGCCGCTGGACCTCCAGGAACAGGCGTCGCTGCCAGGACTCGGGGCCTCAGCGAGGCATGCAGGGCTCAGCAGCAGTGGAGCGTCGCCGGTCTTTCCCGCCTGCAGGTCGGCGATGCGGATGGTCTCTGACAGCGCCCAGATGTAGTTGTGCGCAAAGCGCAGAGTCTCGATTTTGGTGAGTTTGGTCTCGTCCGGGAAGGCCGGCAGCACGCCGCGCAGCGCGTCCAGTGCATCGTTCAGGTTGTGCATACGGTTCCTCTCCCGGTCGTTGGCCTTCAAGCGTCGATTCTTCTTCACCACCTGCACAGTGGCCTCGCTGCGTGCGCGGCCGCGGCGCCGCTTCTTCTGCTGCTGCTCGGGCTCCGGAGAGCGCGACGTGCAGAGCGGAGAGGAGTCCGGGGAGGCGGAGCGGCTGGCGCGGGGGGCCTCGGCCGCC